CGCGCTACCTTGAGAGATGACAATCTTCCCGGAAGCATCTGGAAGGAGAAAGGGCGGTGCCTCTGAAGGGCCCTGGTCGAAGCACTGGGTCACGGTCACCATGCCAACCCAATGGGAGTAGGTCACGCATGCAATGGCTGCTGTCCATTTTGGCACTTGCTGCGCTAAATAGAAGTCCTGCCGGGTGTGCCAGCCCATGACAGACGCTTACCAGACCGTCTATAAACATTTCTAGTTGGGAGTTCATCGTGATTCTGGTTGTGATCGTCGTCCTGACTACGACGTTAAAGAATCCCTGAAGAGATGGGGGCGCTCTATAAATTCCTCCTGATCAGCCAGATCACATGGACAGGAAGGCTCGTCGCCGTACGAGGGTAAATAAGAGTGGTTGGGCTGGCTTGCTCGGTAACGACTTGGGCACAGGGGTGGGCCGATACACACATGAAGACACTGCCTGCTCAATGATGGTGTTCGGTATGTTGGATTGAGGGGAGGGAAGGTTCTAATTGGTGCTCAACTGAATACACAACCATACCCACTCATCATACATCTGCTACATCGTCTTTTTGTACTTTTGATTAGTTGGTGGACACACTGCTAACCTCACAGACAGATTAGATTAGGACTGTTGTATACTACCATAGCCAGTTCTGTCTAATGCTGCTGTAAGTGAACCAATCAGAGTACATCTAGGCTATGTAGACAATCTGTGTGAATGTTGTAGTCATGCCACTTGATCGGTACAGTAGGGGACTTGCCGGACACAACTATTGTTAGAAAATTAGGTGTCGGTCAGATACATGTTGTGGTAGGATTCCACTAGGGGATTCTAGTGCAGACACTATCTACCTAACTAATGAGTGGGTCAGACCCTGTGGATGATAGAGCTGACAATAGGAGACTAACACGTGAAGAGGCACTAAGGGTACCGCACGTGTTCCAGGCCCTACAACCGGGAGAAGAAAGACGGCTTATAGCCGAACATAGAGCCCGTGCACTAGCAGCGGCTAGGGCCACACTAAACGTCGCAGCTAGGGCAGCAGCCATGACTAGCTCAGCAGCATCCTCTGCGGCTTTGTCTGGGACAAATGGGATTCGGTTGGGAATGCCAACAAGTTCCACGGGCACTTCCAGTTCAATGGGTTCTCGACAGTCTACTAGTCAAATGGCGGGCTCGCAGTTCAGCCCGTTAACCCCACGTGAGAGGGAGCTCAGAGAGATCCAACAGGTGGAGAGGCTCCGCCAGAAGTTAGAGGAGGACTTGAAGAAGGCAACCGATAGAGAAAGACAGATGAAAAATAGAGCAGCCAGGCTTGATATCAAGCTGGTACACAGCCAAGTGGTACGTCTGCAGCGTCACACAGACTGTTGCATCTTCTTCTTCGGGTCCAGCGGTGGGAGCTACACCACCGCAACAACATGTTCACCAATCTGGACAGCCGCAGGGTCAATGGTATCCTAAGACCCCAATGGAACCGCCTCTTGCCTTCTCAGGCGAGAGGAAGGACGAAGAACTCAACACATGGTTGAGGACAGTCCCAGTTTGGGTAAAGGCCAAGAGGACCTTGCTAGAGGACGAAGTGGTAACCGCTGCATCTTACCTCGAGGGTAAGGCAGCCAAGTGGCTAGATGGGGTAGTTGTAAAGGTCGGGTATGGGAGACGCATGGCGGACTGGGCTAAGTCTCTGACGTTAGACCAGTTCATGGAAATGGTAGAAGCTCGATGGCATAATCCACAGGAGGCACAGAGAGCCACTGATGCGATTAACAAGTTGGACCAACGAAAGTTCAAATCGGCCAGAGAGCTTACGACTACCATTGAGAGCCTGATCCTCGTCCCAGCATCAACTACTGTGACCAGTTCCTGTTAACTACGTTTGTTAGATGTTTACCAGAGAACATCAGGAACTTACTGGCCAGCGAGGCACGCACTGAGTACCATTCGTTTGAGACACTGTCTAGGAAAGCCTTAGATTTGGAGGCCACGCTAGGCAATGCTCAACCAACCTCTCAGACTGACACGAGGAAGAAGAAGAGTCCTCAGGAGTGGAAGAAGAAGGGGGCTAAGTTGATGATGGTTGAGTCCAATGAGACTCAAACGGAGATCGACGAGCTCACTGACCTGATGGACTATACAGAGTTTGACGGCGAGGAGGTAGCTGAGGGTAGCACCCTCGCCGCGGTAGTCAAGACAAAGGCAGGTGGCCGAGGGAAGGGCCAACCTAGGAGTCAAGGAAAGGCCGCCTCCAATCAGACCAAGCAGGCTGAATGGGTGAAGGCAGGTCTTGACCAAGACGTGTGGCGTGACCGCCGAGTGYGTGGCGCTTGTATCAATTGTGGGGAATACGGACACTCGCAATACAAGTGCCAGAACGCAAAGGTTACGCAAAAGATACCTCCAAAGATGGGGGCATCTTATTCCCAGGCTTCAAGCTCGGGAAACGCGTGAGGCAAGTGGAAGTTTTAGCGGCTTCTACTCAAGATGACGTGGGCTTGATACCCTCCCCACTTCATGACAAGGCCGAAGCTAACGACTCCTTAGCCACCCCGCAGACACATCTAGACCAAACTATGCTTTGTACGTTAGATGTGTCTGAGGCCTTAGAAGACTTAGAAGGTGGGTGGTCAAACAAGGACCCTCGCGAGTCTTGGGTGGCACTGAAGAAAGGTCCTAGAGGGGAACATTTCGTGGTGGAAGTCGATGTAGGAGGCCGCAAATGTGGTGCCTTCATAGACATAGGCTCTACGCGGAATTACATAAGTCGCGACTGTTTGGAAAGGCTGCACCTACAGGACCGGGTACGACACCTTAGTAGACCTGTAGCATCTACTTTGGCCAACAAGGAGCGCATGATAGTAACAGACTATATCAAGGATGTAGTCTGTACCTTCTCCTATGGAGGAGGCGAACTTAATCATAAGATCTCGTTTTTGGTTAGCGACGACTTACCATTCGACATGTTATTAGGCATGTACTACCTCGAAGTTGCTAAGCCCCAGTTTGACTGGGATAAGAAGGTGCTCAAGCATAAGTTGCCTGATGGTCGAACTGTCAGATTGACTAAGTTCAAGGCCAGTAGCATTATAGATACCTATGGCTGTTTGTGCGCATCAGCGTTCTACAATTATTACAAGCAAAACGAAGAGGAGGGTATGTACCTTGTGTATGTCTCTGAGAAAGGGGAGGCCGTTAAAACACCCCCAGAGATAGAACGCGTCGTTGCTACAATTATTGAAAGGGAAGTCGTCCACGCTATAGAAATCATTCCAGGGAGTAAGACCCCAAAGGGAAGGATCTATAGGATGGCCCCTGCTGAGTTAGATGAACTTCGGCGACAGCTTAAGGAGCTGACAGAGAAGGGATGGATCCGGCCTAGTACTTCCCCTTACGGATCACCAGTTATATTCGTACCGAAGAAGGGGGGTACTTTGAGAATGTGCATTGACTATAGAGGCCTCAATGCCATCACGGTGAAAAACGCAGAGCCTCTACCTCGCATAGACGACCTATTGGATAGGGTGCAGGGATGCAAGTACTATAGCAAGATAGACTTGAAATCCGGATATCATCAGATCGCAATAAGACCTGAGGACCAACACAAGACAGCCTTTCAGACCAGATACGGTCTGTATGAGTTTGTAGTGATGCCCTTTGGTCTTTGCAATGCGCCGGGTACATTCCAGCACACTATGAATCGGATCTTCCATAACCATTTAGATAAGTTTGTCGTAGTATACCTTGACGACATTCTGATCTTTAGCAAGTCTGTCGAGGAGCATGCAAAGCACGTTGAGACTGTACTCTCACTCCTGCGACAACACAAGTATAAGGTTTACTTAGAGAAGTGTGAGTTCGGTCGCACTAAGATACTATACTTGGGTCATGAAATATCCGCGGAGGGAATTAGGCCGAAAGATGCGAAGGTGGCTAGTATTCGAGACTGGCCACGACCTCAAACAGTCACTGAGGTCAGATCATTCTTAGGAATGTGCGGCTACTATAGGAACTTCGTAAAGAACTATTCTATAGTCGCCTCTCCTTTGACTGATCTAACTCGACTTGACAAACCGTGGGACTGGAGTGATGAGTGCGAGGGTGCTTTCAAGAGATTGAAGCATGCACTCATGAATCATGAGGTCCTCATGGTTCCCGATCCTCAGAAGCCATTCATAGTGACCACTGACGCAAGCCAATACGGCATTGGCGCAGTGCTGACTCAACAGGATGGGAAGAAGTTGAGACCGATTGAGTACATGCGTAAGAAGATGCCATCGAAGAAGTTGGCAAAGTCCACCCTACGAAAGGGAACTCTATGCTCTATATAAAGCACTTGTCCATTGGAGACACTTCCTATTGGGAAGGTTCTTCTACTTGAGGACTGATCATCATACCCTCAAATGGATCAAGACTCAACCGGTCCTTTCTGATGCACTCAAGCGATGGATTGAGGTCATAGACCAGTATGACTTCAAGCTTGAGTATCTGAAGGGGGAGTATAATAAGGTTGCTGATGCGCTATCACGTAGAGCAGACTACCTAGGTGCGTTAGTTTCTGACTTTGGCGTATCTGATGAAGTAACTCAATCGTTGGTGGGAGCCTATCAAGAAGACCCTGTCACGATGGACATCATTCGCAAACTTCAAGCAAAAGACAAGGCCACGGAAAGCGAGTTTGCGATGGTGGACGGGCTCCTCTATCTTGATAAGGCTGGAATAAAAAGATTAGTAGTACCATCTAGTGAACCTTTGCGTAGTTTGTTCTTAGGAGAATGTCATGACGCAACGGGACACTTTGGCTACAAGAAGACGAGTGCTAACCTAGTACAACGATTTTGGTGGCCAGGAATGTTTGATGACGCAAAGAAGTACGTAGAGACCTGTCAGGTCTGTCAGCGGGACAAGCCGCGAACTCAATCACCGCTTGGGTTGTTGAAGCCTTTGCCTATTCCTGCTGGTCCAGGACAGAGTGTTTCCATGGATTTCATGGACACCCTGGTGACTAGTAAGAGTGGCAAAAGACATATCTTCGTCATCATCATTCGATTCACCAAGTACGCTAGACTAGTGGCTATGCCAGAGACCGCAAGAACTGACTATGTCATCAAGTTGTTCAAAGACAACTGGGTGCGTGACTTTGGTTTACCAAAGTCAATCGTTAGTGACCGAGATGTCCGATTCACAAGTGAGTTGTGGAAGAAGACTGCAGAACAGATGGGCAGTCAACTTCAGATGACTTCAGGGAATCATCCCGAAGCTAACGGACAAGCCGAGCAAATGAACAGAGTTGTACAACACTTGCTGAGGCATTACATCAAGCCCAGCCAGGATGACTGGGATGAGCAGTTGCCTCTCATTGCCAGCCTGTACAACAATGTTGTCCATAGCAATACCGGCGTTAGTCCTAATCAGCTACACTTGGGATGGAAGCCTAGATCAGCATTAGACTTCCTCCTACCTGAAAACCTACCCGCTGCAACTCCAGGCACACTTGAGTATGGTGTGCAGTATGAGAAGTTGCTGCAAGAAGCTGTCGAGCACATGAAGAAAGCTCAGCAAGCAATGATTGCTCCTGAGAATCAACACCGTGGACAGTCCACATTTCAGGTAGGGGAACATGTCTGGGTCAAGGCTAGTGAGTTAGGACAGGAATTCGGAATCTCTCGCAAACTAATGCCTCAGTACTTTGGTCCCTGGGAAGTCCTGGATATAGTGGGAGATGAGATGGATGGCCCCACATATGTCGTTCTTGTACCTGAACACCTACGCACTCACCCAGTCTTTCATGCCTCAAAGCTTGCACCTTTCGCTGAGACAGACCAATTCCCTTCCAGGAGATCGATGCTGCCCCCAACCATGGATGGTCAAGTGGACATCGACGACATTGTGGATCACAGGGATATGCCTGTTCCGAAGCCGCTGGGTCGCGGAAGACCTCCTAAACCCAAGAGAGAGTATCGCGTCAGATTCAGGCATCATACGGATCCCAGAGAAGACCGGTGGTTCACCAGAGAGGAACTGATTGACACAACTCCTCAGGTGGTAGCAGAATATGAAAAGAAGCTGAAAGGGAAGGCACCTGCGAAGTAAGCATCTCAGCGGACTTTCGAAGCTAAGGGGGATGGAATGTGAGGATTGAGCCCTC